ATCTCATGTGCAATACACGTGTAGTCATATTTCCGTCAAAATTGCCGGAATATCCTTTTAGGAGGCACCGTGCAATGAATTAACGAGTTCAGGTAAAAACGTGCAAATTTTTTTTGTTTGGGGGGCAAAGTGCAAAACGGGCTTTAATTTAGGGGGTAAACTGCTTTTTACTCTATATATATATATATATATATATATATATATATATATATATATATATATATGAAATAAAATAAAATTATTATTAAGAACCGGCGGTTCTACCGGTTCTAACCGGAACCGGTTAGGAACCGAACCGCAAGGAACCGGATTTTTTCGATTTTCGCGGCTTTGTTCCTAACCGGAACCGAACCGAACCGTGGTCATGTCTACATACAAGGAATAAAAGACGTTTTTGCCTCTCAAATATGACTTGGATTTTACATCCACAAGGGTTCCTTTGAGCCTACACCAGGTGAATATGACCGGATGTGGAATATGCTGACACGTGTCTTTAATAATTGTTTTTTTATTTTATTTTATTTATTAATTTGTGTTTTATTTATTTCTTTTTTCCTTTTACAAATATATTCCTAAACCATAGTTAGAAACGGGTTAGACCATATCCCACTAACTTGGGTAATGTAGTATTTGGTTAACAAAAGGTCTAACCCGTTTTTAACTATGGTTTAGGAATATATTTGTAAAAGGACAGAAGAAATGAATAAAACACAATTAATAAAAAACCATAATAATTAAAAACACGTGTCAGCATATCCCACACCCGGCTATATTCAGTGGGTGTACGCTAGAAGGAGCTCGTATGAAGCCATGCACAAAAGTACATGTACGGTTTCGGTATCAGTTTCGATTTTATTTTTAGTTTGATTCGAAAAATTGCTCATGAAATCACGCACTACAATACTAGCACAAAAGTGCATCCAAAATTGTACACGTACAAGTTAGAGTCCCCCTCCCGTAATTCCCCTTGTAATAACTTGAATTACTAAAAAAAAAAAAATATTCCATTAGAGTACAATAGTAGAATCGACTGCTCTGCTTCTTCCCCAAAAAGCCCTAAAAAAATATATTTGGGGGAAAAATCTGAAATTGATGGAGGCAGCAGCAGATAAACCTAAATTCAAGAAATTAGGTCGCCACTCGAAGAAGAGCTCTTATGATTCTCAAATAAATCGACTCGATGATGGCTGTCTTATGCTTATTTTCAGCTTCCTCTCCCCCATTCCAGGTATTTTCAGTTTCTTCTACCTCATTTTTTTTTTGCTTAAATTATCGATTTGATTCGATTTTGTATTGAATCGCTGTCATGAATTTATCGCCACATCTGGGCATAATTAATTTTGTTTTGAGTAGGTTGTGTGGTGATTTTTTGTCTTAATTTTCAGAGTTCAATTTCGTAGATAAATCTAATTTAATTCGGTCGAGTGGTGGAAATGTACTAAAGTTTTGACTATAAAAACTAAAAAGTACAGGTGTTTTTTTTTTTTTTTTTTCTTATAATTAAAAAAACAAAGTATAGGTTGACTGTAATTACTATGAATTTGTGTTAATTGTTCTTATTTTACCTACTGTTTGGATTAATTTATTCAGAACTGGGGTTCTCTTTTCTTATTTTAATGAATTAAATTTCCCAAAGATCCAATTTTTATTGTTCAATCCACACAAATGCCACTTTTTTTTTTTTGGTCGAAATGAGTTATAGATGTGGGTGTAAACCGTAAATAATTTCGTAGGACTACTATGAGACAGGGCATTAGGGGTAAAAAAATCACTTCTCGTTCTCAAGTGGAATGTAAAGATTGGCTGTATTTTATCCCATATATCTAGATGCACAAGTATTTTCAAAAACTGTAGTAGTAGAAGTATTGTGTCATGATTTTCCGGTGAGTTTGCAGATCGGTATAACACCGCCCTCGTTTGCCGCAGATGGCGTTTTCTGGCATGTCATCCTCAGCATTGGCTTTGAGTTGACCGCTCCGTCAAAGAGTTGACCGAAGCTGGAGTTTACCCCTGCATCGAGACAGCTGTCTCTGCTGCCAGGTCAGTGAAACAAGCAACAACACATGATCATTATTATATTCAGTTTTAATTTAAATATTTAGCTAATCACAAAAGATGATCTTCTTTTTTTTTTTTGAAATTCGACACGTTTTTTTACAGGCCCGGCGACACTATACTTATTGCAGCTGGAGGGATTCACCGTACATCCAATATCCAGATCAAAAAGCCTCTTTGTCTGGTAATTTTTTGGATTTTCTTATTTGCGCAATGAATCCTCTCAGATTTCGAATTTCTCGATTAATTTTATTTCGGCCTTTCTTTGTCCGATAGCCTTTGTCCCCTTTTGATTGGTTGCTCTCTACTTACATTTGGAAGAGAAACAAGGGTGATGGTGTGCAAGGTAGTCAAAAATTGGGATTTTAAGTAAAAATCGAAAGTGGGCTGCAAATTTATATAGCATGCCGAATTTTGTCATTTTGTCTCAACTCCTAAAATAAATAAAGAAATAGAACATGCGTTTTTTGGTGGGACGTTGATTAGTGGATTAGTTCTTTGTCGTTGTTTGACCTAGGGTTCAGTACTCCACGAATTTCAAAATTAGTCGTGTTACTAGAATGAAAGAAAACGTTCAGTGGATTGTTGAAAAGTGGTTGGGCTTCACTTGTTTTTAAGGATTATTTTAGTTTTTTGAGTTTAGCACAACATGTAGACTTTATGTTTACGATTAAGTCAAAGGCATTCAACTCTTTGGCCTGCGTCTTGTACCATACGAGGGAGGGAGGGAGGGAGGGAGGGAGTTAACGGTGTCAAACAGAATCTTGTTGCTGCAAATTGGCGATCACATTCAACTCCGAGTTCACATTATTGGGCGCAGCTGCCATAGCCAAACAAGCCAAAGAACTGGAGCTACTATGTATCAAGCTATTCTCCAACGGCAACATCAAATCCAGTCCCTCGAAGTGCAACGTAGTAACATGCGCCATCTCATCTTTCGTCGCAGCAAAGCAAGTGTCCAACGCCCCCAATGAACTAAACGGGCCCGCCAATTGATAGACTGATATATATATATATATATATATATATATATATATATATATATATTGATGCTCATTGATACTATACTCATTGATACTGATACTAATATTGATACTCTACTGTTACTTATACTCATAATAATATTGAAAGTGATACTGATATAGACAATGATTAATACTGATGTTGATACTGATAGTCATATTGATATTAATGTTGCTAGTTATACCATACTAATACCGATACTAATATTAAAACTAATATTGATATTAATATTGATACTCATACTAATACTAATAGTCATATTAGTACATACATTGATACTAAAATTGATGCTAATATTTGTACTAATATTGATACTCATATTAAAATTGATATTAATATTGATATTAATATCGATACTAATATTGATATTAATATTGATACTCATATTGGTACTATACTGATACTCATACTTATACTCAACACATATTTGTTGAGAATGGGGCACGTGTACGCTACGAAATAAAAAAAAAAACATATACAAACTAATGTATATATATAAAAACGTGCACATAATTGTATGCATACCCGATTTTTTGCACCAACGTACCTGATTTGTTGCAATTACCATATACATGTTCGCAATAATTTAAATTAAGTTGCATAATTTAAATGAATTGGCATGCTCGCGTTTAATTAATACTAAATTAAAAAAAAAAATATTTAACATGCTCAATTCAAATTAAATCATACATGCATATAATATCATCATCGACAAAATCGTTCACATACGTGCAT